GTAAAGAAAGGTTTAAAGGCAATGGAAATTCATACCCAAATGGTGAATGTGTTTGGTGAATCTGCTCCTTCAAAAACAATGGTTTGCAAATGGGCTAGTTTATTAAAAAGTGGTCATACCAGCCTTGAAGACGATACGCGAGAGGGACATCCAAAAACTGCATCAACACCGGAAATCATCAGAAAAATACAAGATATGTATTGGAAGACCGCGATTGACTCAAAGAGATTTAACAGAGGCTTAGGCATTTCATTAGCACAGTGGGCATATTGAGTGTATTGGGTTTTAAAAAACTCTGTGCAAAATGGGTCCGCATTCTCAAGATGGGCAAAAACCTTCGGATGGACTTTGCAGAACATTTGGCGTTTTAAGAGACACTTATGCATCGATTTTCAAATGGATGAGACTGGCTACCAAAATTAATTGGAATTTATTGTAACCTTCATCCTCATTAGACGAAAAAATTCGTGAAAGAAGACTTGGATTACAGAAGAAGAAAATCATTTTCCACCAAGATAACGCACCTGAGCACACAGCTAAAAAAAAAAAAAACCAATGCTAAAATAACTGAATTGAAATACGAATTGTTACAACATCCAGCCTATTCGATAGATTTAGCTCCCTCCGACTTCTGGCTCTTCCCACACCTCAAACAATATCTCCGTAGAAAACGAATTTCTTCAAATGAAAGGGTAATAGCTGCTGTGGAGGGATATTTTGCAGAGCTGCCGAAAAACCACTACAATCAAGGGATCCATAAATTAGAAGACCGTTGGAATAAATGTATTGAAGTTGAGGAAAACTATGTTGAAAAATAAAGTCACTTTTGCAAATAAAAATTGGTTTCTTCATTTTCGTTCCACGAACTTATTGAACAACCTGGTAATAGTAGAACTTTGCCCCAATTTTGATAGAGATAAATCCAAGGGTCTCCCACCCCCTTTTCCCTATTACCAAATCAGAGAGGATTTTCAGCTTCCCCGATGCCGACAATATAGATTTACAAACATCTAAAAATAGAAATTTTTTTTTAATTTACATAAATTGTTATGTGCCAATATAAAAGTCTTCATGAACTTAGGTGAGCTAATTATGTGCCAATACAAACGTATGCCAATGATTTTAAAGTATTAATTCTACAAGATTTTGTAACATAAAATCTCCTTTTTGAAAAATTATACTGTTCAACACTTTTCATGACAGTCTGCATAGCAATGAATTGTATTTAATCAATTGGCCTAACAAATCTTTTTTCTAAACTGACCTTTAATTTTTAATTAAATACAAATGCATAAATTTTTATTAATTATGACTATATGGAGCAGGGACAATACAAAAATTTTAATTTTGTAAATTTCACAATACCAGGGGTGTTTGTGGGACCCCAAAAAATCCCCTGAAACTTTTACGGACTTACTACCGACATTTTGGAGTTTCGAGAAGGGGGGGGAGAGAAATGAAAAATTACACAATATGAAGTATTGAATGGACCTAATTATAAAGTTCAATGAATTACTTTTTTGCAAAATTTAATAACCTAAATTTTCAAACATATAAACTACTACCTTTTACATGTAAATATTTTAATATTCTGAAAATTCTTTTTAAAAAAATTATCTAATTTCTGGCTGCTTTTTTTTATTTTCTGATGTTTGTGGGCTTGGCTTTCTTTTGTGGTGAACTTCATAAGTGCAGGAAGGTTGACTTTTATTTCCCTCATTTACAGTTGAAGAAATTTCTTCGAGAACTGCACATGCAGAGGTAGAAGCAGTTTGCTTTTCTGCTAATGTAGAAGGTTTTTCAGAGACTTTTATAGGTGACTCATCTGAAATACATGTTTTTAAGTCCTCTTCGTATGTTTTCCAACTTCTGTTCATATTCAGTAAGAGATCTTTGTGAATTGGATCAGTCATTGGATTTTTTTAGCCATATTTTTCCCATGAGGTTTCTTTAGAAGCCATTAATTAAATCATATTAATAGTCTGCACTGCCATCTAGGGAATCAATCTTAAGAGAGGTTCTATAGTCAGTGACAAGTGTATCCATTAAGTTGAATGCACTTTCCACTAATGGGCCATGGAAGCAGCTAAGGCAGGTTTTGACCCAATTTAGCCAATGTAGGATACTTATAATCATTTGTGAAATCATCTTTTAAATTAAAAACTTTAGACCAATATTTATCAATTCTACACTTGACTTGATTTCCACTTTCATCAGATGTGTAGAGCATTTCTTTGGTGATATCAATATCACTCTGGTATAACCTTATTTCAGCTTCTACTTTTGACTTTTCATTATCACTAAAAATATGGGACATAAAAGATGATAATTTTTCAAAAGCTAAAATTGTACTGGTTTTACCTCTTAGCTCTGGATCTAATGCTGTAAAACTAATTAGATATGAATTTTTAAGGGGTAATATCTGTTTCATATGCTGTGCTATATTAGTATAAGCTTTCATCAGAGAAATTTGGAATTCGTTTGCTATTGGATGATTTTTTGATAATTTCTTCAGGAGAGTGGAAGCTTCTGCACCAGTAAATATTACTTTGCTAGGTAGATGGAATTCGGGATTTGTGACATCAACCTTTAATAAATCATTATAAGATGTGCACTCTATATACTCTATATTTTCTGGCTTCATAAAAAAAAAAAAAAGAGAAAATTTTGCCATCAATTTTTCATAAATACTGGGATGTATTAAATGAAGCATTGTTTTTTTTTTTGTTTTTTTTGTTTTTTTTTGTTCAAATAATTTAATATATGTGTTGAACTCTGGTAATACTGCTGAATATAATGCCATATGCAATAAAGTTTTGTTTTGCATAACAAATAACCCATTTAGTATTCTTTTTTTCCGAGCTAAAGCATCCTTTGTGAGTTGTTGGGAATGCAAGCAAGAATACACCCCTTCAACAATTTTTTTCTGAGCTGCAGAAATATTTCTTTTATTGTATACAGTTTCAACATAAAAAAAATAATCCCCTTTATCAGTTTTATCCAAGTAGTGAAAATAAAATGCAATAAGAGCATCCCACAGATCTTTGATTCTTTCTAAAACACATAAAATGTACACCCACCTATGGTCTGGTCTCTTCAAGGGCTTAAGTTTTTTAATGAGAAGGGATTTACAGATTTTGAAAAAAATTTCTCTTTTACTGCAGCTTTCCATATCAAAATAGATGTCATCAAACAAATCTTCTAAGTATCTATCAAAACATGAAGCAAATTTTTTTGCACAGTTATTAGCTATGTGACATGTGTCACCATCAATATCTAATAAGTGGGGTGCTTTGTTTGATCGTAGTCTGGTTTCAACATCCTTTTTTTCCCCACGCATGGTGTTACATGAGTCCCTTAATACACTAATTAAGTTTGCCCATGGAATATTATTATCTTCAATAGTATTAACAACTGCTTTAAAAAACAGCTTCTGAATTGCAAGATTCCATCTTTAGAGATGCAAAATGATGAACTACAACTTCATTTTGATTGTTGTCATAAAACTGCACCAATATTGCCAGTATACTTTCTTGAGCATTGCTAGTACTTTCATATTTCATCTTATAACATGCAGTAGTCCTGGACATTTCCAACGAGTTTAGTGCCATCTGATCGCGGCTCAACTGTTTGCAGAGTTCAATTAAATTGGGAGCTTCATTGAAAGAAAGATAATTCTCGGCAATAAACGAAGTTATTAATACCTCTTGGCGTGCTTTTCTTGTCACTACATCCAATGGCCGAGCATCAGTCTCCAGTAAGTCATCAGTATTTTTTGAATTAGCATAATTAATTAAAGTCATTGTATGTCTAATGCACTTTGAATATTTTATGTGCATCACACTTTTAGAATGATTTGTGAAAGCCTTGAATCCTTCCCCACCATACTTCAGCAGTGAGTTACAAAAAACACAATATGCTTGTCCAGCAACATTTATTTTCTTGCACTATGTGCCGATGGTATCCCCATCACCATCTCTCCGCTCAATCCAATTCCACCTAAATGCATTCTGGACACCTTCTTCTAATTGTATAATATCACTATTTATATCGAGAAATTTCATAGTGAAATTCTCTTGCGTACATAAATAAAAAAATATTTCAATAAACAAAATGAAAAATTTACATGTGCATCAATAAATGAAACAAAAATTTTACACAGCGGAGAAAAAAAAGTTGAGAAGCGATCAATGACAAATAGCTAATACGGCGAAAAATCCCCCTTCTCTACTTATTGACGCCATGCCAGGAGAGATAAGACCTTTGAACCCAGAGTCATGTGATCGCACATCTGGTCGAACGAAGTCTCTCCCTTTTTTTCCTGCCGTGCCTACTTGCCGAAAAGAATCCAGAAGAGAATGTCCGAGAACCGGGGGAATGAGTCATAATTCGCAATAAGGAAAGAACAAAAAAGAAGTTTTTCTCCCCTTTTCACGCATTATCACTGCCTCTGGAGAAAGAAAGGAAAAGATTTTCACCACACACACACACTGACCTTGTGTTTTCTGCTTTCAAAGCAAACAAAATTACCCAGATCAAAATAAATAATTCATTATTATTCCTACTTCCTTTTGAACGACGATCCCCGGAATTTCCGGGTATCGAAGTTCAAAATCCCCAGAATTCTGGGGTTTCCCCGAAACACAAACAACCCTGCAATACTGCAATTACATAAATATTTGCCATATTTAAAGCATTTTTTAATTAGAATTAGATATCTACAATTAGCAATTGTGAAAATAAAAGCTACATAAAGAATTTTATGTACACAGTGTACAGTAAATTAGTGTTTTTTCCTGTTTTTAGCATCATACAATAAGAACTTCTATTTTTTTTAGAAGATAATTAAATATTCATGGAAATAGGATGGCATGTAAAAGAGACAGAAAATCACATTTTATATGTTTATATTCATATTCTTGCCTTTTAGGTACACAAAATATGTTTAAATGTTTTTAAGTGTTCTCTTTTAAAAAATAATAATAATACTGAAACTCAAATGAATATAGAAATAGAAGTAAAATATTTAATTGCCTATTTAATTATAAAACTATTTTTTCATATACTTTGCTTGAATCCATATTCTATACATTTTAAGCAATTTTCCTCTATTGACTTGTAATCGTCTGCTGCTGTACAACTGAGTCTTAACTAAGCCAGCATTATGAAATAAACTGTGAACTTGATCTGTAAATAATAAAATTATGCATTATTATTTTTAAAAGAATGAAGGAAAGCTACAATTAAATACAATAAATGAAAGCCTCAGATATAAAATATCCCCATTACATTCTAATAAATACAATGGTATCTGCATAATTTTAAAATTCATGAAACAAAATTATTACATTCAGCTAAAACAGTAATACAGTAAAACCCCTTAATATAAACTCACTTAAGTTGAACATTCGGTTAGCATGAACAAAATTTCACTCCTGGTACCAATCCACCTGATCTTATAGGAAGTTTTACTGGTTAACGTGAATCTCAATTACTAAAATTATGAACTTCCGTTGCTTCATTAGATTTTTTTTTCATTTAACACGAACTTCCGAAGTTATTTATTCTTTCCCTGTTGTTTATCTACTAGAGCTACATTCAGAAATGTTCTGTCACATTTAATTGAAAACCTCACAGAATACACTATACACTTTAAATTACAGCCAACATTACTTTGCAATCGGGACCATCATGCCAAACACGAGCTTCAATCGACAAATTCAGATGTTCATATGTGCTTTTGTAGTCTTTAAAAGTTAGCCAGTACGACTAATATTAAACCTTGAATAGATAAGATGTTGTGAGCCCTGATGTTAGTTTTGAGGAGTTTGTTAGTGCAGGTGATGATGAAATCGCACGTGCTCCAGTGAAATCAGTTACGTTTGTAATTGATTTCAGGTGTAAGAAAAGGCATCAGAAGAAAACGAGGAGAATAATATCATTCTACCCACCTCCCAGGAAGTGTTAAATGCCTTGGACACAATAGGATGCTTTGTTGTAACATTCAAATTGACCGCTAGCATTACAAAAGATAAGAGTACAGTTGGCCATGAAGTTAGCATGCTCTCGTCTGCAACAACACAATATATAGGAATTTTTTACTAGAAAATGATCAGTGAGCACAATTTGTTAAGTTACAGCACAGTAATTAATGTAGTATTGTAGTGTTTTCTGTGACCGTGTAGGGTTTATATTTATTTTAACTAACATTTATTTTAAGTTTAAACTATCTTTCCTGTCAAGCCTTACTTTCCCCTGGAACTGCCAATGCCAGAATATGTAAATTTTAGTAGAACGTGCAAGGATTCAAATTATCAGCGGAAGTATTATGATTTAAATAGAAGGAAATGAGTTCGGTGTGATATTCTTACTGCACGAGCGCGGAGGTAGTTAGCGAGAATTGAAGAACCCCGCGTTGCGGCCTAGGTGCTTGGCGGGAAGTAGTGGTAATCGTTCCAGTGAGCTTCAAGTCTGCTGAATTAGCAGCGGTATTGTAAAACGCGGTGAGTTAGTTTTTAGAGAGCCTCGTAGTTAGAATCTTGTCCTTACTTTCTTTTCAGGTTATTTTTTATTTGACTGCAAGTTGGCAGTTGGCACAGTCTGTGAGCGTCAAGAGCACGCAATTGTAACTTTTTAAGTTGAAAAAAAAGGGACTTAAACCCTTAGCAAGTCTCTGTCTATTTTCCAGTTTTAACAGTCACATCTTGGTTGCGTGCAAGTTAGCGCGCAAGTTATATGGCGCCCGAACAATATCGAACTGAAATGGCCCGAAAACTGGATGGAAGCCGCTGGACAACACCAAGAAATGACAAGTCAGTTAGAAGGATTTGGATACCTGGTCCAGACTTTGAGAGCGTCAATCAGCCAAACGTCTATTTCGACGGAAAAAATTCGGTGGTCAGTATTTATAGAAGGTCTAGAAAACCACTTCAGCCTACCCTGTGCCGAAAGACAAAAAGTTGCCATCGCCACATCAGCACTAAGAGGACAGGCCGCGCTATGGTGGAAAAAACATAGGCAAATTTTATTAGGGGAATTTGGAAGCCCGACATATATATTTGAAAATTTCAAAAAATCGTTAGTATAGGCCTTCCCCATAGTGAAAGATCGCGCACGGCTGGAAGCCGAACTATATAGTTTCTATCAACGGGATACAGCACAATTGACGGACTTTATTTTACGAAAAATCAGCTAACGGATATGCTGTATGGAAAGAAACCCGATGCGGAGATAATTTGAAATAATATTACCAAGATTGTTACCCGCTGTCGAAGACTACTTGAAATTAGAAACCCAAGCACATTGCAGGAACTTTTCGAATGGCGGTGAAGTTCAAATCGCAGAATAGCGGAAAAAGCGAGAGGGGAAACATATTCTCAAAGTACCCGAAGGAAGGAGGAAACCAGAAATGGAAATCGCTCTTATGGGGGAAAGAACTATCAAGTAACGCATCGAACACTCGAAGGTCAAGGCCCAAAAAGAAATTTGAAAATAAACATCCGCGTACCCAGAAGACACAGATTGAAAGAAAGCTTTAAACGAGTAGGGGGGCCTGTGAAAGGGAGGGTCCAGACCCCGGAAGTTTTAAAAAACCCTCAAATCACATTTAACACGGTCATCGTAAAAACTCACAGCTACCAATTTACAAGTCCTGGTTGGCGATTACCAGTAGAGCCCATCGATACAGGAGCAGAAGGAAATTTTTATGAGTGAAAATTTCTTCAAAAAGAATTTTTATAGGATACGATTATTTAAAACCAGAAATACGGAAATTATAGCAGCGCAAGGAAAAAAATGTCACTGCACGGGAAATTATCATTAAATTACAGGTAAAAGAGGAAAATCTCAAAGTATAATTTTTGTGGTGAAAGACCTACAAAACACTCTCTATTTTAGGTATGGATTTCTAAGGGCCGCGAGGCCAAATTAAATTTCAAGATAGTTCCGTGGTGTTGGAGATGGACCAGAAGGTGGTGGAAACTGTGGAGACACCTGAAGTGGACCTTAGCCATCTGAGACCATGAAAGCCAGCCATCCAGCAAGTGGTGAGTACTTTTTCAATTGTTCAGAACGGCTGGTAGTTGTCAAATAGTTACGCATGAGATACAGTAACTGCCGACAAACCCTGTAGGACTAAACCTACCGCTATGATAAACAGAAAGAGCAAATCATAGAAGAACACATTCAGGAAATGTTAAAGAACCACATATAACGCCCAAAATAGTGAGTACACGAGTCAGGTCGTACTATGTAGGAAAAAAAGAACGAGTTTCCTCCTTCGGATAAAAGGGCTTGGAGGTTGCTATCGATTACAGAAACTTAATAGTGTTACTAAATTTCCAGTTTACCCTTTGCCGGTTACAGAGGAAATTATTAGAAAGATTAAATCTACAAGATACATGACTACGTTGGACTTAACGTCTGGCTACTATCAAATAGCTATGAGACCCGAAAGACATACATAAAACCGCGTTTATAACAAAATTGGGCACTTATGCATTTTTACGCATGCCTTTGGTGTGTGGGGCCCCGTCAACATTCCAGAGAGCTATGACATTGTCTAAAGCCTGTCCTAGGAAAATCGACTTTAATCTATCTAGATGATTAATGATAACGAGTAGTACGTTGGAACAACATAATAAAGAACTAGAAGAAGTTTTTAAATTATTAAAAGAGCTGGTCTTACAATAAACGCCTCAAAATGCAAGTTCGCAACTAAAGAACTTAAATATCTGGGTTATAAAATTTCGCAAAAGGGTATAGAAACGCAAGATTCAAAAATAAAAGCTATTAAGAATTTCCCACTGCCCAACACCGCCAAGAAACTTTCGTCTTTCCTTGGGTTATGTTCTTACTATCGATCTTTCATAAAAGATTTCGCTAATATTGTCGAACCACTCTTAGTAATCAAAAGGAAAAAGAGTAAATTTACGTGGACAGCGGAAGCTAACACAGCTTTTGAAAGATTAAAAGAAGCGCTTATTAATGTCCCTGTTTTAAAGTTCCCTGAGGGGGACGAAAACCTGGAATTGCGGCAGATGCGTCAGACTATGCGGTGGGTGCGGTTCTTATGCAAAATAACCATCCGCTGGCATTTTTTAGTAAAACATTGAATCAGACACAAAGGAATTATACGCTACAGAAAGAGAAAACATTAGCCGTATTAAGGCTGTACACAAATTTCGAGTTTATTTCGGCAAATCGCCAGTAACAGTCTTTTCGGATCATGCGGCTGTTGGTAGACTTTACTCGGGAAAAAAAAAAAACCTAACGCCCAGGTTAATAAGATGGCTTTAAAACTCCAAGAATATAATATCACAATAAAATATAAACCGGGTAAGGAAAAACAATGTAGCTGACGCACTTTCTCGTATAAAACTGGACGATGAAGGAAATGAACTTAAATGCGCTGTGTTGACTTCAAAAATTTAGATTCTAGAGATACGGTTATTACTGAACTGAAAGCTGATCCTGAATTTGGAAATATCTATGCTTATTTGAAAGACCCCGAGCTTTGAGCATACAGATATCGATGCGATAAGAAATAGAGCAAAAAAAACTATGAAATAATAGATAATTTATTATTCTATATGAAAACAACAAAAACGAAAATCTTGAGTATAACCAGTCATCCCAGCCCTCGCTTCGATTAAGCATTTGAAGGAGTTGCACGAAGAAAAAACAGCGGGCCACCTCGGGGTCAGAAAGACTATAAAAAGGGTACGCGAGGCGGTATATTTCCCGCAATTATACAAAATAGTAACGGCGTATGTCAGGTCCTGCAATCAATGTCAGTTAATAAATGATATTAATTACAGCCCGGCCGGGTACTTAAATAGCATTCGCGCTACATTTCCGAATGAAATTTTAGGCATAGATCTTCTTGGTCCCTTCCCCCAGAGCGAGTTAAATAAAAATCGTTTTTCTTTAGTAATAGTAGATCATTTTTCAAAATGGATAGAAATTGTTCCACTTAAACACGCGTCAGCCAGAACAGTCGCAGATGCATTCTTACACAGATACATTTTAAAATACGGTGCACCGATAAAAAGTCATTAGCGATAACGGAAAACAATTCATTAGTCAAATATTTGAAAATATATGCAATGGACTGGCATACGCCATATCAAAATGGTTCCGTATAGAACCAGGCTAAACATAGCAGAAAGAGTTAATAAAACATAGTAAAAATAATTCGCAGTTACGTGAGCACACATCACAAGCGCTGGGATAGCTACATAAATGAATTAGCTTATGCTTTAAGAACGGCACATCATGATACTACGGGAAAACCTCCAGCAGAATTATTCTTAGGCCAAAAATTAATTACGCCTTTAGATAAATTATTCTTTGTGCAACAAAGAGAGCAGGAGTTTAAACAAAAAGATGTGCAAAAGCTAATTGATCAGGCACTTAAAAGCTCGGATACGGCAAGAAATAGGCAGAAACAGAACTATATTACGATAGAACACGCCGTGAAGCAGATTTTAAAGTTGGGGATAAAGTATTGAAGCGGAAATTCTCTTTATCAAGTTGCCCCAGACAATTTTGGCAAAGCTAGCTCCAAAGTTTGAAGGCCCCTATGTATTCAGGAAATCAAAGGAGTAGTCGTCTTATATCTTAAGAACGAGAGAGGGGAAATCTGTAAAGCAAGTCCCAACCAGGTGAAAAGATACTATAATCCAAATGATTTTGAATCCTTAAAAGTTTCTTGCAGGACTCAAGTCTAAACGAAATAGAAGGGTCCAGAGACTACAACAACTATTCCACCACCCAAGAAACAGAGAATTGAAGAGAGACCTAGCACTTCTACAACCCGGACGTCGGTATCAAAAAGAAAAAAATAATTTTCAAACTCCGGCGTTTTAAGAAAAAACAAAAATACAGATGCACCGGTAAAGAAACCGTGGTAAAGAGAAAAACACCACCTACAAAGGATAGCAGGAGAAATTACACATCAAGGAGAACGCGCACACGGCCACAGAGTCAGGTGCCAGCAAGGCCGCCGTTCCGGAAACTGAAACGCCAACAGGAGGCACAAAAATACGAGGAACAGAAGAAATTCAAGAAGGACTCCAGACCGGAGGACGTCAAGACCAGCCGTCCCAGGGAGAAACGGAAAGGTCAACAACCAGACGATTACTCCGTCAAGACGCCAGCATGTAGAGGACGCAAAAGAAAAAGTCAGGTGGACGACACTCGGAGGGCAGTAAGGAGAAGATTAACATCCATGAAACCTCTAACTTGGGACCAATTCTGCCAAAAACGGATGACGGAGTTTCAAGCATCGAAAACTCAAAGATAAGTTAAAACCTTCTATAATTTTTTTTCTCTTTTGTTCCGAAATGTTATGCATAAGTACGAAGTTCTATGTTTTGACGAAAGTCAATATGTCTCGGTTGAGACTTAGTTTTCTTTACTTTATTTAGCTAAGGCAAAAGTATTATTTTCTTTAAGTGTAAAAGCTAAAAACAAGCATTTTCTGTTGGTCGAAAGACTAATTCTGTTATGTTAAAGCCAAAAATTTGGCCGGAGATAAAAATAACTTCGTATTCTTGTATGTACTAATAAGAATTTTAGTTCCAGTGCCGCCAGCTTGGCGAAGAATGAGTAAAGTAAAAATTTATTTTCTCTTATTCATTTTATGGTAAATTGTAAAAAGCATATGTATTAAACTTTGTAAATGTATGTAAATACTTGCATGTTATGTAAAAGTAGAATTTAGTCTAGAAGCATAAAATTGTAGATGCTAAAAGTGAATGCTTAAAAGCAATGAAGTCAAAATTTAAGTATTAAACTGTAAAGTCATGCTTTAGAGCGAAAGCCTGCATGTTTATAGATGAATGAGGGGGAAGTTAGAATGAATGTGTTTCGTAGGGTTCTCCACCTACATTTGAATTTTTAAGACTATTAAAGTAGCTCATTGAGTTGTAGAATGTCGAGTAAGGTGTGTCTATTGGGTCGTTGAATTCTAACAAATCATGGTGGTTAGGGGAAGTGTTGTAAGACTAAAACACGAATATTCCCGTTTTGACACCACACACGGTGGAGAGCCAGGGTAAAGTAAATTAATGCTTTGAAAAATTGAATGAATGTGAAGTAAGCAATAACTAAGAAAAACGAAACGTTAAAAACAAAAATTTATTGTGTCAAGAAAGTGTAAATTATAATGTATGTAGAAAGATACTGATACTTATTCCTTCCAGATGCTGGAAGGAAAGACCAAAGATTGATTGATGAAGTCCAGGAAAAGTTGCTGTAAGAAGAAAGCTTTGTAACGACGAACAGAATTTTAATTGTTACATAAGATTTTTTTTTGTAAACGAGGCTTTCGCCAGTTAGTTCAGAATTAGAGAAACTTACAACAGGTCGTTTGTAGGACCTGCTTCCAAGTTTTTCCAAATTCTGGCAGCGGCAAATGTAGGGTTTATATTTATTTTAACTAACATTTATTTTAAGTTTAAACTATCTTTCCTGTCAAGCCTTACTTTCCCCTGGAACTGCCAATGCCAGAATATGTAAATTTTAGTAGAACGCGCAAGGATTCAAATTATCAGCGGAAGTATTATGATTTAAATAGAAGGAAATGAGTTTCGGTTGTGATATTCTTACTGCACGAGCGCGGAGGGTAGTTAGCGAGAATTGAGAACCCCGCGTTGCGGCCTAGGTGCTTGGCGGGAAGGGAGTAGTGGTAATCGTTCCAGTGAGCTTCAAGTCTGCTGAATTAGCAGCGGTATTGTAAAAACGCGGTGAGTTAGTTATTTTAGAGAGCCTCGTAGTTAGAATCTTGTCTTTACTTTCTTTTCAGGTTATTATTTTTATTTGACTGCCAAGTTGGCACAGTCTGTGAGCGTCAAGAGCACGCAATTGTAATTTATTACGTTGAATAAAAAGGGACTTAAACCCTTTACAAGACTCTGTGTTTTATACAGTTTCCACAGTCACCCCTTGGTTGCGTGCAAGTTAGAGGCACGCAACGTTATAACCGCATGCATAACATACCACTGCAGTTACTTATGTACCTATATACTGTAAATGGTTAATCATAGAAAAAGCTATTCCAAAAATAAAATTTGAGCCCCCAGCTAGCATGAATATTTTTAGCATGAACTCTTGGTTTTTTGGTCGCTTAAGACTTATGTTAGCGAAGATTTACTTTATATTAGATCTACATTTAAAAAATGTGCATTGTTTATTTTCACTGCTCAGTTGAAGAAATTTCAATCACACATATTACGTTTTAGGAGGAAGACGGGTCATGCAATTTAAAATTTTAAGTCAAACACTTTAATTTTGTAACAACAACAAATATTTTACTTACGATCAGATTTTTTTAAGTAACATGCTAATTTTAACATCTAAAATTATGCTCAAGTACCACATTTAATGAAACTGAATTAATTTTTTAAAAATTAACTCTAGAAAATTTGCTTTTGTACCGATTTAAACTTTATTTAAATCTGGTAACATATTTTTACTACATAATTTAATTTTTATGCATAATAATAAAATTTTACTCAACATAAAATTTCATATTTTCCCCATTCATTTTTATAAAATTCATTCTTTATGAGAAGTTTTATAGAAATTTAACACTAGGTCGATGTGGCTTTAAAATCCCATATTAATGTATAAACATCTTCATAGTGTTTTTAACTTTTCACGCCAAACTGGTGTGTACATCTTATTCGTAATATCTCGAAAATAATAAATAACATTCTTGATAGTTGACTATCTGCTCTAACAAAGGATAATCCAAATATGTGTTTTCAAAAGTTTTCTGAATTTAAAAACTAGAGGATTCATTTCATCATTTTTTCTTCGGGTAGTACTTTTTATTCTGTTTTATTTTTCTTATTATTTTTCATTATTATGCTTTTACTTAAAAAAATACTGAGAGATCAATATTTTTTTAAGCATATATAATAGCTCCAGTTTGTGTCTGAATAATTTCTTGTTTGTTTGCAATTCACATTTGACTTTTAAGGTATAATAAAATATACTGGTTTGATTTGGCATTTTTAAAATAGCCAAGCTTATGCTCATGCCATTTTTTTTTATTTGTGTTTTAAACAGCAAAAGCCTAAAATGCGAATACCAGAATGTACAAGAGAATACTGAGTATGAAGCATTAGGAATAATATATCTGAAGACTACTTATTAAAATTTGACTTGGACGAATAATTTTTAATAATAGTTACTTGATGACACATAAATATCAGTTACTGAAAGCATGACTTCAGCATGAATCATCTGAAAAGATTGGCTAATCAAGTCCAAAATACACTTTGTATTTACATCTAATGCCACACCCAAACTGTTTTATGAAATTCAATACCTAAGCTCTTACAGATAATAAGATTTTAAGTTGTACATCATTGTAAATGAGAAGTGCAAAGAATGCAAGCCATTGTAACTCTAAAATTACAAACAATATTTATCATACAATAATTGAAATTATTGATAATTCATAGGTAATTTACATTTAGAAGTTTATATTCACTGATTTCACTTTACATAATTCTTTTTATAGCTATGAAAAATCTTTGAGTTACAGAAGATTAAAAAATTGAATTGCATAACACAAAACACAGTTCCATAATATCTTTTAGTGATGGTTAATAATAATTTTTGTATGCTACTTAGATTTGACAAGAATACCTTACCTTCAGAAAAAAAGTATACACGAGTGCCATCACCACGCACATAAAAATGTTCAGTCAAATACTGTCCAGGCTTAAAACGAAGTTCAACCATATCATACTTCCCATAATCCCTAAATAAAATCTGTCCTCCAGGTTTTAAAAATTTAGCCAATCTGTTGACAACTTGCTGCATTCTGCAAAAAATAATTCTTACTCAGGAGCACGAAGATATTTGAGTTAAAAAAAATTGCTACAGAAGGGAAAAAAATGTCTCTTTCACCCCCCTCCAAAGTATAATATTAAATACTTAAAAGCTCCCATAACAAATTTTAAAATAATTTCAGAGGTGTTTTTGGATTTGTATGCATGTGTGTAGGGAAATATTACATTTTTAAATACTAAAATGGATGTTATATCAGTCTTGTGTTCCTGTTTGATGCTGAAATAAAGAACTATCCAAAAATTTACATTTTGTTATACAACTTCACAAAAAAATTTTCATTTCCGTGTATAATTTTATAGATTTAATATTTTGCGACACAATCAATATAAATTCACATGAAGTAATATAATGAAATAAAAAGAGTACAGACTTGAGTTTGCTCAGCAGGGTGGCTTTCTGCACCCATTGATGAAGAGCTGTATATGAGCAATACTTATTATCTAGATCTGCATAATTACTTTATTGTGACAGCATGACTTTCCATTATTTTGATCATTCAAAAATATAAGGAAAAAATATCTTCAATAAAAATAGTGGTAATATTCGATTTCGAGGGCCATAAAAAATCGCCAAACTATTGTTGATGCCAATGCTGCCAAAAATAATTGCGGCAACCCTAATAATTGCAAGAAAGGAAGTATAATAGTAAATAACTATCTAAGATTGATGTTTTAATTTAGATGAAAGGTTAATTTCATATAATACTTTCTATTACTATAATTTATATGAAAAAAGGCTCAACATGACTGAATGGAAGCATAAGAGTAAATAACTATTTCAGATCATTGTTATAATTTATATAAAAATTGCTAAACATAACTGAATGGATGCCTGCATCGCTATTTCACTACCGACTTATCGCTAAAGCATAATTTCATCTCGTTGGTTGTTCAGACGTAATTTTCTATAATGAATGCCTTTTCTTTGAAAATATTCTCGGTAAAGTGCAGAATCGCTCACTTATTCGTTTGCCGCTTTTTACAAGGGTAAAAACAATTCGATTTTTGTCAATTTTCTTTTACTTTTTAAGTGAAAATAGGTTGATGTGTACATAGATAAAGTCAAGGGTGTGCGCAGTGTCATTTTTGTGCAATTCTAGGATTTTTTTTTTAAGTGAAAATAGGCCGATGTGCACATGGATACCGAGTATATGTAATTCTTAAAAACGCGTTAAGCAGTGGGTGATTCTGCACTTTACCCAAAATTCTGTTGCCGTGTTTTCGTCATGGGCAATTCCCAAATTATTAAATCCATAGGATAACCAAACAAAGGATTTAAAATCAAAAACAGGATTTAAAAATTAAACTAGTATTTCAATGGCGTCTTAAGAAATATAGAACTATCTAAACTTATGCAATCTGAAATCAGTGCATATGCTAGATTTGGCGCGCTGTTAAATGGGCGCGTTTGCTATATTTGGCGCTTTTGCGCGTACATTTTCGCTGCAATTTTTTTACGGCCCTCAAAACCAAATAGTACCAAAATAGTTGATATACACTGTTTCTACAAAAGTCATTACATGTCTTTATTTTCACAACAACTGGTTATAGGCATGGACTTAAACAATTTTTTTTTAATGCTGCAAATGTTTATGTTCTGGCATTCAAAAATAATTTTAAAAAAATCAATTTTGTAAAAATTACAAATTGTAACTTTTTGTACAGTCCCCTAGTTCTTATATTTAGAAAACTTTTATACTCATTATAAAAAAAATAAATAAATAAATAAACATACAAGCTTTGATTCTTTATTATAAAAATTGGACAAAATATTTAAGTTCAATATTTTGGAATTTCTGCTGTCATTTTCAATTTCCTTTGGTAATTAAATAAATAAAAATAATTCATGATTAATTTTCTCTTTGCCAATTATTACCAGTCAGTGGTGTACTTTTGCAATTTATAAAGGTATAACATTCTGTAAGTTATAATTTTGTTACAATTGGTATAACAAACAAATTTTTACACAAGTAATTTATAACTTTTCAAATCCCCACCCTCAAAAAGTTTTAAACATTCTCATTTTATATGATTATGTTTATAATCATAATCTAAAAATCATATAAAAATTGACTAAATTAGAAGTATTTTTAGTTTATGTAAATACTGCTTTGAGTTGGCTATATGGCAATACTGCAGCCTGCCAGAACTTTCTAGAATATGAATTTTATAAAATTTTGTGAAAAAAATCTCTTTTTTTGAAAAAAAAAAAAAAAAAAAAAGAATACATTGATGATTAAAATTACAAAGAAAATTTACCTTTCATGACAGTCTGCACAGCACTGCCTATCACTTTATAAGGTATTTTCGCCCTCCCTTCTGCATGCCTTCGTGGTGTAATTGGAAGCATACTCAATGCGTATTCGAGAAGTCCAGTGTTTGAGTCCCAGCGAGAACATTGCAGACTTTTTCAATCTCTTTTTTACCTCACAAAAAAAAAAAAAAAAAAAAAAACTAATAACTCTACGTGTGGCACCCAAGCTAGTGCATGATAATTTTTCACTACCAGGATTTGGCAACTCAGCTCCCTAATCCCCAGTTGCCCTTTAAAAGACTGAGTACGTAAGGTATTTTCTCCCTCCTTTCCGCATGCCTTCATGGTGTAACTGGAAGCATATTTGACGTGTATTCAAGAGGTTCAGGTTTCGAGTCTTTGTGTGGGCATTGCACATTTCTCACTTCTCCTGCTTGAAAAAAACCTAATGACTCAACAATAACTTAATTTATTTGCATCAGAAATCTTTTTCAAAACTGTTGATTTTTATTTTTAGTTTGTAATTTTAAATACAATTTCAAATGAAAAAAAAAAAAAAATCTTAAAATATTCTCATGTTCTATGATTACTAGATTAAATCATATACAGAATTGATTAAACTAGAAATATGTTTAATTTATGCAAATACTATTACGATCTGGCTATGCATCAATACATTTGTTTTGACACACACAATGCTCGTCAGAATTTTCAAAATATGAGTTCTATAAAATTTTGTGAAAAAGATATCTTTTTTGAGAAAAAAAAAAAAAAAAAAAAATGCACTCATCATCAATTCCTTTCAAGGCAGCCTGCAAAGCACTGCCTACCACTTAATTTATTAGTGATGCAGAAATCATTTTCTAAACTGTTGATTTTTAGTTTTATTTGCATACAAATGCAAACATTTTGTTTTTCAATTTGTATACAGAACCTTAATATGATCTAGAACTTTAACCCATCAGCCCCTGGTGTTGCGTTGATACAACGGTCAAAATAAATGTGTAAATAAATATAACTACCTAAGATACTTTATACCAGCAGATGATTTTGTGTAGGGAATATTATAAAGATTATTTCTGTAAAAAACATATTTGCCTTCAACATTCATTTGTTTATAATAATTAATCTCATACTTTAAGCAAAATTTAAGCAAAATTTTTGACCGGGTATTTTTGCTGAAAATACTTAACGAAAGAATCGCCATCTTTATGAGTGATCTATTTTTAGTCAAGGTCACCGTTTATCAGAACATTACATCAGTCAGATGTTTATATTTGTGTTGGGAAAGGAAGGGGAATACAGGTGTTGCACTGATGCAACTGTCAGCAGGAAACAGGGTAATCAACCTTTTTTTCACTTCATTCCTTTTGATGTTCTGGTTCATGCTCTGGCTGCCTTAAAAATGCCTTAGAATGAGGTATCTTTACAATTAGAAGAAGCCTTTCAAAGACTTTTTTAATGAAGAAACAGATGGATGATAATTTTAATAATGAACTAGAATGAAACTGATATTGTTGTTGTTCCCCCAGAAATTGCAGAAGCAAGTGACAAAGAAGAAAGAATGGCAATGTTTTAAATAATGATAATGATATTTTACCAAATGATACTGCCGGGGAAGTTGAAATTCACGTAAGAAGTAAGTTTCAACCTTCTAAGCAGAATTTGCATTTGACAATAGTCAAATTGACAATACTGATAAATTATATGAAGTAAGACCGTATCTAAACTTACTAAATATCACCACTTTTTACTATGGAAATAATAAGTCTCTTTTAGATTTCAGACGCGAGAATGCATTATTCCTTTTGCAAACTCCTATTGAGAGTGTAGAATTAGCCAGAAATAGATCAGCAACAGGAAGACCTAGTCAATTCAGCATTCAAAAACCATTGCATGGAGATGGTAGACATTTTATCGTAAAGTCTGTTGATAACAAAAGACTTTGTTAAAAAGAGTACCATAGCCAGACTGTTTATAGATGCAAAGTATGTAATGTAGCTTTACATCATGATTGTAATCAAGCTTTTCATGCTTGAATCTTTCAAATGAAATAATCTATATTTGTAAAAGAAATAAAATGTATATTTTAATATTAAATTATTACAAGTAAAGTGATTTGTAGATTTATAAAACATTATACAGCTAAAAATCCTGCGCTCCACTCAAAAGAAACATCACACGAGTACAATCCTGCTCACTAAACATCTGTAGTCTTATTTTGCTGATGTTGCGTGAACGCAACACTCGCTTTTTCCACAGGTAAAAGCATTTTTTTAATTTTCAATGTAAATTTATGTTATAAATGCTTAATTTAATATTTGTTATTATTTTCATGAGAAAAGAAACATTCCTTGTAGTTTTGGCAGTTAATGGGTTAAACCAGGGTTCATACACATTTCTGCACATGGAAATTAAGTACTTTTACATACCATCAAGGAAAAATATTAAGAACCTATTAGCAAATATGAACTGAATAAATTAAAGCAATTATCTACAACCAAGCTTCACTTTTTTAATATCACTTTTGTAATTTCTAAGAATAAAATAAATCTGCAAGTAGAATGCATTATTTTTAATCTAATATTTAACTTAATTATAAAACAAATTCAACTTCATATTTTTTTTCAAGTAATGAGCATTAAATTATAAAATTTCTTGAAACATTTATTTTTTACACTTATAACAATCCTATATATTTTTAAAGATCTAGAACTCAGTTACGGTTTTTTTATTTAAATTTTACTAACAGTTAACTTTATACTCTTTCTTTTAAGCTTCATTTCATCATGTACTTAGTCAGTCCAAAGTTTTATGCAGATTTTATGTCTAGCATAAGATAAATTGAAAAATAAAATAATAATCAACATGACTCATAAGAGAAGCTAGTAGGTTGTTGCCTTCAGCTGTATACAGTATTTAATATGAAGTTTGAATAAGCCATTGAAGCACAATGGTGATAGGCTGTTTTGTGTTATTTTAAGTCTCATTAGCTGTACAGAATAAAGTTTTATGTCAATATTTAGATTTTTGTGTTATATCTTACATCCACAATAAGGGTTAAGAAAGCCAATAAGTAACCTTAACAACATAGAGATAACTTTTAAGGGTAAACAGCTAGTTACAAATAATTAAATTACGTAGTTAGACATCCTTAGTTATAATTGATTTACATGGTTGTTGAGACATTAGGTTCTTTTTGAAGCAAGAAAGATGAAAAATGTGCAATGCCCTCGCTAGGACTCGACCTGGAACTCTTGAATACGGACCGAGTGTGCTAACTGTTACACCATGAAGGCATGCTGGAAGGAGGAAGAAAATACCTTATATACCCCCTCATTTTAAATGGCGATACTTTTTAAAGGGCAACTGGGGATTAGGGGACCCAATAGCCAAATTGTAGTGGTGAAGAATCATCATCCACCACCTTTTAGTTTGGGTGCTACTGTAGAGACATTAGTTTTTTTTTTTTTTTTTTTTTTTTTTTTTTTTTTTTTTGAGCAGGAGAGATGAAAAATGTGAAATGTCCACGCTGACACTCAAACCTGGACCTCTTGAATATACACTGTGCTAACCATTATACCATGAAGGCATGCTGGAAAGAAGAGAAAATACCTTATATGGTAACAATTACACTTTTTAAAAAGTTTCTATAAAATACCAATTAATATAATTTATGGTATCAGTATAACTATATATTAAAAGCTATGAAACATTTATGTTTTGTAGCAACAATAAATAACCAAATATCTACGGTCCTTTCAATTTGAAAATTTCCCAAATATTTTAGCTAATTTACATAGTTCTGTTTCTTTAACATCTTTTTTAAGTTTATTTGTTTCAATAAATAAGGCAATGTTCTCACTAGTCTCTGCTTCATTTTCTAATTTGTTTCAATAATTGAAGAATAATTTTCTTTCTCTTTGTAAAATCAATTTCTTTTTCAAAGAATTTCCTCTTCATTTTAGAAGTTTCTGATTTAATAAAAGACTTCTGTTATTCTAAAGAACTGCTTGTACTTAGAATGTATACAAGAAACTGTTATTTCTTTTGTATTGCGAGTACTGAAAATAAATACGAAATGATATAAGGTCGGGGCCAATGCCCAATCTGCCAGAATTTTTAGAATTTAGTGAAGCACTAAACAACAAAATCAAGGGATGGCAAAAATTTTAGAATTTAGGCCAAGTACTGAGGTGTGTACGGAGCCTTGACACACATAAGATGAATTTTTTATTAAATTGTTGGTTTTCAATTTCTTTTCTTGCTTCAAAGCTTTTGTCTAGTGCAAAGGTAAGAAAATAAAGGGAAGATAAATGTGTTAAGAGAAAGACTTCTGGGATAAAAAAAGATAATTTAAATAATTTTGTTTTCCCTGTTCTTCCAAAAATCCTTCAAAAGCTAAGAAATTCATTACAAATTTCCTATGAAACATGCCTATTATGTGTTAACACAATGAAGACATTTTTCATTTTGTCACATTTTTCTGGAACTGTAGATCTTGCCTTTAAATCCTTCCAAACTTTTTGAGATGCTAGGTCTAAAATCCCTACCAACTCTGTAAAAGGAAAAAAGCTAGATGACTTTTGGGGGAAAAAAAGTTCAGAAAAGAAGAGTACAAAGTGAATTCTCAAGAGAAAACTGATACACATTTAAATACTCTGACATAATTGCATGGAAAAAAACCCTAACCATGAAAAAAATATAAAAGAAGACAAGTGAAATTAATTTTAAAATAATTACAGAAGCTTTTTTGTTTTACCCTCAAAAGTGTTTTAAAAGCAAAACAAATATTCACAACAGCTTAAATACTCGTTTTACTAAGTCTAACCATCCATATAGGAGAAAAACACTTCATTTTTCATTTTGTCACATTTTTCTGGAACTGTAGATCTTGCCTTTAAATCCTTCCAAACTTTTTGAGATGCTAGGTCTAAAATCCCTACCAACTCTGTAAAAGGAAAAAAGCAGATGACTTTTTGGGGGAAAAAAAGTTCAGAAAGAAGAGTACAAAGTGATTCTCAAGAGAAACTGATACACATTTAAATACTCTGACATAATTGCCATGGAAAAAAACCCTAACCATGAAAAAAATATAAAAGAACAAGTGAAATTAATTTTAAAATAATTACAGAAGCTTTTTTGTTTTACCCTCAAAAGTGTTTTAAAAGCAAAACAAATATTCACAACAGCTTAAATACTCGTTTTACTAAGTCTAACCATCCATATAGGAGAAAAACACTCCTTTATTGTTGCACTGTGTTTTCAGGTTCGTGCCAGTTGAAAGACCAGTTACACATTTTCATTACTATTATTATTATTTTTTAAACAGATGAGAAGCAATAGCCCATGGAAAAGGCAAGCACATCCACTGAAACATCCAGTTGGTACAAATATTAAGCCGTCCCCTTCCCCCCAAGAAAAAGCAAATGCCTTCCCCAAAATTTTCAATGAGAAGAGAAAAAAAAAAGATTCCCTAAAATTTGCTCCCCATTTCTCATGACAATTACCATTTTACGCTTACATACCATAACCAAGCATTTTGCTCTCTCGACAATTAGAACACAAAACAGGAAACTGTTCCTGGTCATTGAATAACATGTATCTTCTTTCAATTTGGCAACCCACCAGAAATTATCAAGGCATGCATGTAAACTTCCAAAGGCAGCCGAATGTTCTAAAAGACATATTTAATGAAAGGAAATGCATTCTCATTTAATAACTAAAATTCCTAAGCTTCTCTCTCTTCCTCCCCCTTCACAGAAGACTATTTCTTCGGAGCCTCATGATTACACCTCAAAGCAATAGTACTCCATATCCCTTTAGCGAAGAAATATCTTTTGATGAAAATAATTTCCTCAAATAGTTAAAGTTAAGACCTAGTGAGAGAGAAAAGAAAAATATTATAAAATCCCTAGCAAATAAAATCAATTGCTTCAAATAGTTAACTACTATCATTTCAAATTCACTGCTCAATATATAAGAGCACAGAATTCTGATATATCAGTCTAATCTCCAAAAGCTAAATGCACTGCAATGTAGAGTATTATCTACAGTTTGAAGGGATGAGTACTTATAAACTTTAATACTTACTCATTACTAAATATCCTACTTCTCATCAAAGCACTGCATAAACAGATAATCTTCATTCAGTTGGATCACACATGTTCCATCTGAACTTGTGGTTAGGACTGTCATTGGAAGACTGGGTGCTTTGAGCTGTTTTATTTCATTCAGTTCCTTACTTGGAATGTATTTTATAACGTACAAACAATTTATACCATTAGTTTAAAATTTATTTGAGTTACAATAAACCACAGAAATTGAGTAAATGGGATTTGGAGACGTAAATCTAATAACAGACAGAAAACAGAGTGGATTTATTTTTAACTAAACCAGATTTCTAGTGAATAAACCAAAACTGGAACTGTATTAAATGATCTTTGAAAACTTAGGCATATGCGCATGAAATGAAAATAGAATAATAGTAATAAGAAGTGTGAAAAAGAGGAAGCAATAGTAAAAAAGAAATGAAAATTACTATGATTCTACAAAAATAGAAATAACTATATCAGAAAGAACTTTAACTTTGCTTACTTTTCTGGATGAATGGCAGACAAAACAAAAACTAAAATAATAAAATCTATGCTTTCTTCTTCAAAGGGAATATTCCAATTATCTGAAGATATATCACAAAAAAATGCATGGCATCGTCTGGGATCATATAAATCATGACTCTGTAAATAAGGAATAAATGTGGCTTATATTTAAAAATATTTTATGTTCTTTATTACATGTTGAAAATACGTGAAAATTTCAAAAACACAAACAAAAAATTAAGTTTGCAAACATCCGCCTAGTAAAAAAAGTACTTTCTTTTTTTTTTTTAAAAAAAAGACTGCATTTTTTTACATCATTTAATAACATACTGATATATAAAAATATATGATTGAGATTTTTTTTATTAGATATATTATCGAGATTTTTTTAACTTTGAAATTAATTTATTAAATAAAATGAAAGCAGACATTTTTCAATGCTTTATACTGAATAAAAGCTATTGGCAATATTTTATTCATTCCACATATAAAAAAATGACAATGAATGTTGATTATAATGAAATTAAGCATTTTTGCCACTCACGTACAGAATTTAATAATTATTAACTTTCTAATGTTTCAGTCCTTCAATGAAACAAAAGTTTAAAATACTTTGTAATAAATTTGAATCAAGACTTAACTAAAAATACTTTCTAAAGCAAAATTACTCAAAGTTTGTATCAGACTAAGCAATCACAAGGAAGTTCCTACCAAAGTTTCTTACAGAATAAATGAAATAAGTTTTCAAATTATTAACAAATATAACAAATGAAAGATATTAGTAAGGAATTTCTCCAATCAATTCACATTTTTCTTTGCAGCTATACTTATATATAAAAGTATATAAGTACTTTTATATCAGAACTTTTGTATCAACTTACGTGATATAAAGTTATTTCATTTGCAATGATGAGAAAACCACTGCAAATGGGCAGAACAATGACGTCTATATAATGGAATATATATACAGTCAAAAGTCTTTAATCCGGACTCGTCAGGACTTCGGCCGTTCTGGATTATCGGTTTTTATCGGATTTATCACCTGTCAATCCAAATGTTACCATAAGTTACATACAAGAAAAAGATGCAGTTGAAGCTTTTGAGGCAACAAAAAGTACTGAAATACTTGGAAGAAAAATTAGTTTTATACTCTTTAGGCGCTTCATGCCCAAAGAAATGCAAGAAACGGGCCTAGAAGTGTAAACAAAGCAAATTTAAATGGAATTTAAAAAAAAAAAAAAAATTGCTGCCACAGCAAGATGATAAAAAAAGCTGCCTTATGCATTGAAGCTCAACGGAACACCCTCTGTTCATAGCAAGCACATATACGACAATATAAGAAACATCACAAACCTGCCTGCAAATACAAACTTGGAGACCAAATGCCAATCCAGCCTGGACAGCAACTTTCACTAGGACTGAATCTTCGACTTGAACTGAAACTTGGATTTAAACTTCGTCAAAAATTCTTCGGTCCTTATGAGACAACTTCTTATAAAAAATTCTTCGGTCCTTATGTTGTTGAAACACATCCATTTGATTGTTACAAAGTATGGAAGATATGCCATGAAGACACCATTATCCTGTCAGCCTCTGCTGATCAGGTGAACTGGTGGTGCACAAAGTTAACATTCTCCACCTGGATATTGATTTTTTTTTTCTTTTCACTTTTTCTGTTTTTTTCCTCTCTTTTCAGATCCACCCCCCAGGCGGGCCATGTGGTCATTCGCTCCTACAACTCATCTGCCTTTCTCTTTCCCACCTGGCAACAACATCAGCAGCTAGATGATTCTGAATGCTGTGTGATGAATTGAGTCCTTCCTTCTGCGTGTGAGAGATGCTGTGACGGCAGTGTGGAGAATGGATCCTGATGTTATTACGTAGTAGTTAGAGACTTTAAACTTTTCCTTTTGATGTGATGAACGCTGTTCTGTTTTATGATGTTTTCATCTAACTTCCTTTCACTCTGTACATACCATAATTATGTTTATTATTTCATTATAATACCTCTAAAATGCCACTGCCTTCTTCAACTTTAATCTTAACCTCATCTCACATTAATTGTGATATGGGTGTATACTAAATAGTTAATTAAAAAAAAAAAGAAAAGAAAAGCAATAATTCAAAATATATGCTGGTTTTTCATGGCCTTCATTTTGAAAGGATAATGTCAAGCCCCAATAAGCCAATGCTATCCAGATTTGGCTTAAGAGCCATTCATCTGTGTTTCAGATCATCTACAGTGGCTTTTAAAATTTATAGATTTAACTCCTCTAAATATCACTGAGATACTACAGACCAAAACATTACACTTTGAATCTAGAGCTGACACCCATGGACTAGGAAGTACAAGCTATTTTTTGTGCTACATGAAAATGACCAATTTAATCGGGAGGTGATTATTTTTGCCTTTTATTACACAATTTTTATCAATGAATGCACCTATATTTATAACTCTGAAGTAATGTCATTTAAAGCTAACCTTTATTTAACAGAACAGATTGTGCAGTACAACTTTTATTTAACCCTTCCTTCTCGTTTCTGTCAAAACTACAAAGTGAGGCTTTCTATTCCCTCTATTTCTCATGCCCATGATATTTCTGGGCTGAAATGTTCCAAAGAAATGTCCCAAAAAGATTAAAAACTATCCATTTTTTAACCCTGATTGAATGTTTTTTTTTCTGAAAAATTAAATATGAATACATATATTCTTAATACACTTATTTTTAAACAATTTTCTTGAATAACAAAAATAAGTACTTTCACTGTTTTCTTGAAAATTATGCTATCATCGAGGGGTTAAGAAAACTAATTGTTGAATACTTTTTAGTGCTTATAGTATTAGTCAGAAACAAAAAGAAAAATATGATATTTTTTATAACATAAAAAGTATTATTTAAGCTATTTTTAGACATTTAGAGATAATACGTTTTATAAATAAATAAAAATGAATTGCTATACATATTAAAAATGCGTAATTTCTTATATTTTGCTTAAAAATTTTATTAAGAAGGATAAATTTTTAGAATTGTCAATGAAAACAGTCTTCATTTCTTCAAATAATGAATAACATGGGTTTTTATCAATCAGACTTCAAAACTCATATTGTTCTAAAACACACATACTAAAATCTACAAAATTTGATGCTTAGAAATATTTAATTGGCTACTAAAATTCAATCCAATGTATCAGATACAAAGCAGCATTGCAAGAAAGCAAAAGTTTTTTTTTTTTTTTTTTTTTTTTTTTTTTTTTTTTAATAATGCAAGAGTTTTTCTGATAATGATTTTATGATAGTGGATTAACAAAAGACTTACTCTCCATTTTTCCTTTGCTTTTAAAAAATGATCAAAGTGATACAGTACAAAGTCCGTAATCCGAACGTCCATTATCGGAAATGATCTATAATCCGGACCTCAAAGCCACAAACTTACACATGCGCATTTAATGCACGGTCCGCTATGTATGCGCATAAAGCGTTTACCCTCGCGCTTCCGATAATGAAGAAAGTGACAGAGAGGTTATTGAAAACGAAAAAATTTCGATTGACAAGTTAGTCGGTAATGCTCCAAACAGCGGTTCCAAGACTTCAACAGTGGAACTGTAACTGAAGAAAGAGATTATGTCTGTCTATGGAATTAAAAAGAAAGTATTATCACAAAAAACAAAGCAACTTAAACAACATACATTGAACGAAATGTTTAATAAAGGTAAACAAATAAATATTAAGCTTTGTTTTGTAATTTTGATACCCTTTAGATCATAAATATTTCATGATTTCATAAATCCCGATTTCATATTTTTAATTGTATAATTTCTGCATGCTATCTTACCAGATTTAAATTGATGATCTATAATCTGGAAAAAACCCCTAATCTGGAATCGCCAAAGTCCCGACGAGTCCGGATTACGGACTTTGTACTGAATAAAAAATGAAGTAGCAATCACATTTATAGTGTGCTCAATGAATAGTACTGAAATACTATATTTATTAACTGAAAAGCAACACCTTAAACAAAATACAAGAAATATCCCACAAGAAAGTGTATAAATAATTCCACGGATCTCTGCTGATTCCATGCCGTTTTTTTAACTCAAAACATTTTTATTTATCAGTCAGAAATGTGATATTAAAACATACATGAAAATGCTTCATATTCAGACATACCTTCACTAAAGAAACAGCAACCTCAGAAAAATCGCAGCAGTAAACAAAAACATCAGTGTCTCTAAAAGAAAAAAATATATATATTTATTACTAAATAAATGGGAAAAAAAATAAAAACTCAGAAATTCTAAAATATTAAAACACAGATAAAAAATCTGAAAGTGTTCAGATATTAACAATCACTGAAAATGGCTGTTTTAAAGTTTAATATGATTTATCAGTAGCGATTATTGACAGAGATGGCCCAGGTGGAATAGTAAAACATTTTAATAGGATATTAGATGAAAATGAATCTAGACGAACATGAGAATATTATATATCTTCTATACGTTTAAAAAGTAAAAAAATATGTAATGTAGTTCAATGATATTATTTAATGTTTTTAATTAGATATAAGGGCGAGTCAAATGAAAGTGAGCCAATCCCTCCTTAGCAAGAATGGTTCGGTCCATCATCTGCGGCGCATGCGCGTAGCACAGAGACAGCCTTCATTTACGAAAGTGGCGCGAAAGTGTGAGGTTAAAGTTCTTTAAGGTGCTCTTACACTGTGGTTGAAGACGTTAGCGTGACATAATGGACGCTACAAAAGAGGAACAGCGTGGTGTGGTCAGGTTTTTGACAGCTGAAGTGTTTCCCAACAGGAAATTAGTCGCCGTATGACTGCTGTGTACGGTGAACATTGCATCGCATTGGCCACTGTGAAGCGTTGGAGCAAACGGTTCAGAGAAGGACTTGAAAGTTGCAAAGACATCCAAGACCGGCCAAAGCCACCTTGCAAATCACCCCCGACACAATTGCACAGGTTGATGAGCTGATTAGACAAGAAAGGAGGATAAGCATTACTGATTAATTACTGATTGAATTTGCTAAACGTTCAACTATCAATAGTTCGCGATATTGTGCAACGCCGGATCGGCTGCGTGTCGCAATCAAGAACATACGACCTGAAAGATAGACGAATGGTGTGATCTTGCTACACGACAATGCTCGTCCCCACGTCGCTGATGTGGTTAAGACACAACTGGCAAAGTTCAAGTGGGACACGCTGCAACATCCTCCATACAGCCCAGATTAGTCGCCATGCGACTTTCACATTTTCAAGAAACTGAAAAAAAAACATCTCAGGGTACCATATTCTTGTCGGAAACGTATGAAGGAGTCGGTTACAAGACTTTTTGAACGACAGCCCAAGGAGTTTTTTGAGACAGGGATCACGCTGCTCATTTGTCACTGGATAAATGTCTCAATGTCATGGAGACTACCTTTAAATAAAGTACTCTGTTTGTCATATATTCGCATTGGCTCACTTTCATTTGACTCGCCCTTGTATATCATGAATTATGCATTTTTTCTTGCTGTTTTGGGTTAACGATTTAAAACATTAGTCAATATCAAGAAACAAGGCTGTAATATTGTAAGTTGAATGTCTACTTTTAAGAATTTTTTCCAAAATAAAGAGTAAGCTTAATTTTTTTTGCATATTTGATACATCTTCCCCTTTTTTTCCCTGAAGATGAATATCAAACTAGAAAAAATTATTCTCTATATAAAAGTCTTCTCTTTATAGTTAATAGCTATTGTGGTGACATCATTCGCTTTCATGAAGCGCCATCTGTGAAACTTCTTGCATGCACTTTTCTTTTCGCCAGAATGGCAACATGAAGCAAAAGAGAAGAAAAAGAACGAGGACTGATTTTTTGTCTGTGTGATTCTATATCTAAAAAATGCAAATAAATATTAATCTTATTGGATAAGAGCAATGTTTAACATTTCCTATGTTCAAGACATCCACAGCTATCAAGAGCATTTCTACACTAAACTCCCAGATAAGAATGCCAAAGAAACGTTTAAATACTTGGCACTGTTTTGTTTTCGTCATTATAAGTACCAGAAAATCCAAACCATGCTTTGACCACATTTATAATTATTTATGCAGTGGTTCCAAAATCCACATTACCAGACACAGGGATAATCAAGAAAGCAACCCTTAAAGTTCAAATAAAAGTTTCCAAGTAATTTTCAATGCTGTACAGAAAGGTTTGCAATAAAATTAGCCCATACTGTTGAAATTAAAAAAAGAAAAAAGAAAACCATAATACAAACAAACATAACAGACATAAATATGAATTTTAAAAAATAACAATGATAAATGCAAACAAGTACAACAGCCATAAGTAATCACATACTGTTGAACTTAAGAAAATGACAACCATACATACAAACAAGAGGTTGTCATATTTATTAAATTAATTTCATTATTGCTGTTGTTAATTGTTGGTTATTCAATTAATTATTGCTGTTGAATTTAAAAAAATAACAACCATAAATGCAAACATACATAAGAACTATCTAGAAGATTAATGAATCTTTTATTGTTACACTTTGATTTATGAATAAGTTCTTTTAATACTAAAACAGACGTTTCTATTATGGCATTATATTCATAAAGCTCATATTTCTTCTCAAATTTTTTATTATAAAGGATGCAAATTGAGCTAAAATATTAACACAGTCTTATGTATCAATGATAGAAAGTCTCTTCTATTTCAAAATTTACTAAGCAAGTATCTAAATCACTTTGGAAAATAATACTTATTCAATCATTCTTTTAATGCTAAATTAGTATGTAAGATGCTCCAACTTATTCCCTACTCTCGGCCCTTTAATTCTGCTGCCTTCACTTGTTTTCAGCCCTGTAAAGCAATTTTATCTGTTCCCTCTTTGTTAGTCTTCCAAATTTCCAAGACTAAATTTTGATAATAATGGCTATTTTATAGGAAGGCATAATTGGCATACTGCCTATCCTCTAAAGGGAAAGCCAATGTATATTACCATATTACCAGGCACTAGATAACAAATACCTTTTTTTCTTTCTGCCTCCTTGTATTAACCCCTTAACTGCCACAGAAAACATACAAGATTCACTCCCCAGTGCCACCGTTTTTTACACAGGCGTGCGTAGTTATGCAATGTATTAGGGAGGAAATAAGTGCAAGTTTTGCTGCCTAAAACCTGTTTACTTTAAAAAAATAAAGAGTAAAAGAAAATATAAAAATACAAAATTTAATGTTTAGAGTAAGTAAAAGTATAATAAAAAAGATGTAAGTATAATAAAAATGATGTTTGTATAACAAAAAAGATCCCCCAAAATGGAATTCTGATCAATTTATTTTTAAACCAGTAAAGTGTAATATCAGGTTTCAGTGTTTACATTGTAAAATCAGTATACCTAAATAGAAAGTGTGACGGCAGCACAGGCAAGTATTGTTATATAAAGTCGTACCCAACGTCGACCATCTTTCGGAGAATAGTCGTAATCCTCTTCATCTGATGTAATATCACATTCTGCGGTGTCCAATCCTGAAGATGACAGAAAGTAATTGTCTATTTCACTGTCATACATATTCGTACCTACTACAAACTGTAAACAATAATGGAAGACACACAATAAAAATAATACGTTTTACTCAATCAGAAACACAATGAATAACTGGGCAGTCATTATTTTCACCATTTCAGAAACATCCCACTCTCTAGGTCTTCCTCTTTTCTTTGAAATAGTGCCCTTCTTTGCATACTGTGTTAAGGTCATTGTGGTGCTGCATTTCAAAGCTTTGTGAATAATTTTACTGGTAGCAGCGCAAAGCAATGATAGCATTTTGGAAAGGCATATATATACGCCCATGGCAGGTGAGGGGTTAACATGTTAAATGATTCACATTTTATGATATATAGGAGGATAATAAAGATGCTCCACAGACATGTAGAATATTATATGTCATGCAGTGAAATTTAATGTACTGTAATTATATATAATGTAGTGAAATGTAAAATAATGCATTACACTACCTAATCCACATTACAAAATATGGTACTTACAAATCAATGCAACCACCTTAGCAAAACATAGCAGTCAACAGATGAAAACGTAAAAATTACTAATTGAGCGATTTTCATGATTTGGTGATTTTTCTGACTTATAAAAAAAATTCTGAAACTCTTGATATTTAACATAAGTACGTAAACACTATTAATACATAAAAGGAAAAAAAAGTTAAAACACAAATTTTAATTATTAAATATGAATTATAAGATGCATTAAAAAATAACATCCTAAGATTTTTCATGAAACCTTTCTCTAATTTTTTAGTGTTGTTCTTCTCCACATATACACATAGATCTGTTAAAAAAATCAGAAAAATGCACAAACTCGGCATTGTGCACCAGCTATCTATTAAACTCCTCTCAATTCATCTTGTTATCTTCAGTGATTTCATTTTGCTGCAGTTTCTTCCACTGCTGGCCAATTTCACAAGAGCATATTTTAAAATTGAGTTGAAGGCAAAAAATATCAAGATTTGTCAACAAAAACTGTTGTACAACAAAGAGATTGCAAATGAAAAGAAGGGTATTGCTTGACTGAAAGACTTATGAACATGGTTGCCAGTTGGTGTTGGTGTATTTAATTATGGCAAAGCACACTAGGGCTATCTGCCTAAGGGGAGGGATGCCTTTCGTGGAGGACTTTCTAAGGGAAACTGGTTCGTATACCGTTACAATAAAACCACGAAAAACGCCCATGCAGCCAGCCCGTTCGCGGGATTCGAACCTCGGACCGAACTACCAGTGTTCAGCGTCTTCACTGCTCGCCCGCTGGTGGGCCCAACATGGTTGCCAGAGTTTGGGATATTCTGAAAATCTGGCAACTTTTAGTGTTCGCAATAATATGCAAGTATCCCAAATTACACACACACACATATATACTATATACACATATATATATTTTATGTGTGTATGAAATATATATGAAAGATATAAAATGAAAAAAAATCACTAAGCTTAATTCAGCAATAATCCTTCTAATTTGGCTATATCCTCTTCCTGCTTTAAAAGTACAAATGTATGAATCTAAAATGCATCATCTGAAAATGAATCTGCATTATGCTTATTGTACGAGAAGCATAGTGGATATTTCTTACCCAATTGCAGTGTTAAAAATTTAAAAAAAGGAACCAGCTCTATAAATACCACTTTGACGAAATGCTTACTAACTTCCCTGCCTTCCTGTCTTATATGTGTCATTTTGCTGTCTATGTTGTCCATTGTCCCAATTATGATCAGTTATATAAAAGAAACTACTCTCATATACGCCCTCGGTTGGCGACAAATTTCTTGCCAAACATTTTTGGCAAGAAACTCCACGCCGCCATATTACTATCTAAATTTTTTGTCTACATTTTGAACTTTAAGCTTTGTATTGTGAACAAACAATTTACGCTAAAAACACAAAACAAAAAATTTAGATAGCAAAAACGTAAAGTTTATAAGCAAAAATATTTCAGAAATATTCCATGTCACAGATTTTTAACTTACAAGCAATGAACTATGTTAGGATAACACTTGCCAAGTTTTTCTTTTTTCCTTCACTTTCATAAAATGCAATAATATTGCAAGAAAAGAAAAGAAAAAGATGTTCAGAATCAATATGGCTTGAGAAATAGCTTATTATATTTCTCTTTTGGGAAATTCATATGCTGTAAATCATCATACAATTTAGACATTTGAATTTTTTATTGTGAAATGAAAAGTTAGTATAGCCTTGAATATTTCAAGCATTTAATATTAATCATGTCTGCTATATGAATCAGTAAATATTATTACGTTCATATTGAATAGATTTTCTGCCATGTTTGGATAAGGTAGCCTTTAAGGCCCTTCTACACGTAGCGATTTTCTCGGCCGACAATATCTAAGATAGCTCGCCTGTCCACACGGAATGATTTTCTCATTAGTACAGAAATTCACTCACCCAATCACTATGAAAGGAAATGTTCCCACCCTCTACAGCGTCACACTGTCTACGATTTGTAAGCAAAGCTTACGGTGTTTGTCAAATAGTCAAAATAATGGATGACTATTTTAAATTGCTACTACAGATACAGCTACAATTTTGAACTTAACTGTTACAGAAGGGGCAAAAAATGCGTTTGGACCAGAAAAAAATGCTTTTCTTTTGTGTACTGAGTACACAAATTACTCCTTTTTTAGTTTATTTACTTATTTTTAAATTTCACTTTCTGGTACTCCTATTTGTGCATTTAAATCTTGAAATAATAAAATAACCATGTTTCAGAAAAAATAATTAACTATTGTGCTTTAAAATCAAACCTTTATTAATGATAAATAGACAATAATATCATGAATATCAAACCAATATGAGTAAAAAGTATTGATAAAGAATAAAGATTACTACATTACAAAGCAACAGTGTAATTTCAGTGCAAAAATTTTAAATAAGAAATATTATAAAGGCGCAAAGTCTTAAGCAGCATATTTATTGAACATTAAAAAACTAATATCAGCATAATTAAATAACTAATACAATCTGAAAACTATGATTATATGACTCTATCAGTTAATCAGCAAATAAAATTTAGCAATATTGAATTAAATTGGGCTGTAATTTGCTTTCGTAAAATTCAATTAACACAAAACTGAGTTTGTGACTTTTGACTTTCTTTTGACCAATAGATCTAAAAACGTGCCAATGGCCATTCGAAAAATAAAAAGAAAGACGTTAAAATTCAATAAACACCCCACCCATAGGCGAAAAAATAAAACGTGACTTTTAAGTCATGCAGTTCGAATTTAGTGATGGAGAAACTAAATTAAAAAGTTCTTCCAGGCGTAGAAAGTCCAAAATTAGGGTAGGGGATCGAACTCAAGATCTCGACGTACGGAGAAAACCTAGTCTACTCTTTACCACTAAGCTATGATTGCACATGCAGAAACTGTCAGAAAAGTTTAAGTGCGACCACAGATTCAAGTAGTTTCTGAATATTTTCATCTAGTATCCATTACATGACATCATTAATAGTTTTTGGAACTTTTCTTGAGAGAGTTAAAATCATTTTCACCCAGAATTAGAAAATATTTGAATATATAAAGTAATGGGAAAAACAAATCTTATCAAAATAAGAGAATCCCTTAATTTTTTATTTTTAAAATTTACATTACTCGTGTCCCACAACACAACATTTTCTCTATAGAAATCTAGTAGTTGAGTTTCGCTCCAACGAAATGCAGCCATGTTTATTATTCCAAATGAGGAGAGAAAAGCACGTGATCACTCAAAGCAATCTTATTGGATAGAGACTCCGATTTTATCATACACTAGTGAGCAGTGAACACCAGTTCTGAAATCGCGGCAGAGAACCTGACCAATTTTTGGCGCATGCGCAGATCCTTAAAATTGTTGCTCTACAAAAAAGTCAGCCAAGAAAATCGCTTCGTGTAGACGGGCCTGTAGAGTTTCTAATGTATTAAACTTTTTATGACATATACATAACATTTTCTTCAATTGATTCAATGAATCTTTCATTTATATTACAACACGAGGTAGAAACGATCAGTGGTTCAACATTAAGCTAGCAATAGCTTTACAGCATAATCACTTCATGGTTAATTGTTTTTTACACAAATCAAAACTTTTCAATTTTTAGTAATTACAATTTTAATTGATATGGCTATATTTATTAATTTAGAAATCAAACAACAAAAATTAGTGTTATATTTTCAAATTTTCACAGCACTAGTTTCGATGGTTTTACTGAACCATCATCCTCAGCTGCCAAAGTGCTATTTGTGCTTTGGCAGCTGTACTATCGCATTATTTGCCTTATGTGTAAATTTGGTAATATCACATTATTTGTCCAACCTTGACAAGAATCACCAACAAAGCACTATGTCACCAAATAGACAACCCATAATTTTACAAAAATGTATTTACCTGGCAATGGTACTATTTATGGTTGTATGTACATAATGGCAGCGTGTAATGCAGCCTGTCTCAGTAGCAATTCATGCAGTTTTAAAATTCAAGGGTCATGTTCAGGGTTTCTGTTTGTTGTAATCAGTGTGCAGAGTTCCCCCCTTTTCTTTCTTCTTGTAATAAATGGTAATGTCACTGTGAACCTGCTAATGAGAAAGAAAGCATTGCATTTTTTTCAGAAATATAGCATTTCGCTTAGTAGAAGAGAATGTAGAAAAGTGTATTCCATGAAATTAATTTGTCCAATTTTCTAACTTTTTATTTTAAATTAAAACAGGTTGTTATGTAGATGGAGAGCAATATTAGTTTGCTCTGCAATTTTCTGATGTTTCTGAAGTTAAAAAGATCACTGTGCACTCAGTTACAACACCAAGAAAACAGAAACTTAAGTGTTTTATTCTGGATGTGTGTTGCGGTACTAATTAATTAATTACTGTTTTATGAAATTCTGAATTTTGCATTATAAATGTTTAGTTTAAGCAATTTTTACTGTTTCATTACCAATGTTTCTTGTGTTTTTAATTTCATTACAACATTATTGTTTTATGCAATTTTCAGCACACCACCATTTTTAAAAATGGCTGCTGTTTTTTATGTGTTAATTTGGCAACTGTGTGGGAAGGTTGGAAAATAATGTGAGAGCACCCAAATTTCTTATAAAAATATGCTTAAATAAATAAAAGTAGAAAAAGTAAGATTAAGTATTGATAAAAAATTATAAATGATAATTTATTTACTAGTTTATCAGTATTACCTACTTATATTTAATAATCAACTGTAACTGTATTACTCGTTTGTCAGTATTACCTACTTACATTTATTAAATAAGTGTAACATGATTTTTTTAATCACTTTTGTTAAAAATATATTATATAAAACAGTTAAATACACTAATTATGTGTAGAACTTTCATAAAATTAAAAACATATTTAAAAGAAACATATACTAAGTACTGAAGAGACTTGAACAAATAAAACAAATTATATAAACAAGAAGTAAATCAAAATAAGTTTAATGCAGAAAACTGAAAGATCAATGAATGATGAAAGAATGCTGACTTACATATTAGTCTCCAAAATGGGAAAAACAGTGTTTCCAACCCCACATCCAACCTGCAATACAATAACTCATTGTTTAAAAGAAGTCTGTTAAAATGTAGTAAAAATACAGTTATTAAATTTTTTCATGAGTAAAAAAGTATATTTTTCAACACAGATATACAGTATTTTATAGCAATTTCATTATTTATCAATCACATGATTTATTACAGTGAACTAGAAATTTTAAAACACTTGCCTTAACAATATACAGCCATGTATCAGCAGCAAAACATAATGTGTAACACATTAATGAGATGATTCGTGAAAAGAGATGAATCACAGAAGAGGATATCACTAAGAAACTGAATATTTTGCATCGAAATGTGCATTACACCATTGCAGAGTATCTGACGTTTTTAAAAATATGTATTCAATGAAACCTATGCTTTCTGTACAACAAACAATGCTTCCAGTTTTTGTATTTTTGGATTATTATCTGATAGAAGTCAATTACTTTGGAGAAAAAGTCAGAACTGTACTTGGTCTGTTACTTCTCACAGTAAAAGGAAATAGAATTCTCATGAATGGAAACATTCTAAATTTGCTCGGCTGAACAAAATCAAATGATCCTCCTGCAGCAGAAAGTTAATACTGACTCAATAAAGAAGATATTAATCGTAAAGAATTCAGATCCCCAAAATATATGGTTTTAACAGCATTTTAGTGTTAATCTCTGAAAAGCTTCAGAAAGACAATTAAAGATTAGCAGCTAGAGAACTAAGAAGATACTATGTTTCTTCATGACATTGCAAAACTGCATGCCCTAAAAGACATGCAAAAAATTCTACTGAAGAAGTAGAAGTATTCTAATTATACTCTATACCTTGTACCTTGTGATTTCTATTTGTCTAAACTTATACATACAAGAAAAACTTGTGAAGAGACACTGTCTTTTTAATGAGGAAATAAAAATTGTGATGCAACAATAGTTATAAAAATTATATGGGTATTCTCTAAAAAAGATTTAAAAAAAAAAGCCCTGCAACAATAAATGTTTGAACAAATTTGATGATTTATGCAAAGAAGTGATTTTAGTAGTACACTTTTACGTTAATAAAGGAACAGTCATACATGTATAAAATGCTATTTCTTTCTTGCAAATGCAACCTTTAACTAACTTTTTTACAAAACATCACACCTCCAAACACATTGAAAATGTAAGTAAGATATATTTCCTGAATTAGTTGGATTTGTTTTTTCACAGGATGAGCAACAGACAAGCTTTATTATCAGTATTCAATCCAATTTGATTAATCTGTTTCTGAAATGCAAATACAGGCATAAAATCACCAAAGTATGGCAAGCACCAGCATAGACTATATTTCCCAAGAACTTTTGCAATTCAAGATTTGTTGAAGTTTTAGTGATTATTGAATCCAAGTAATTCTTTATGCAGCTAAAAAAAAATCATTTTAGAGAATCTTTAGATGGAGAACTGTCAGTATGATGGTGTGAAAGCACAGCCTCATATTTTCACCCCAAATTCTTATTCTACTGAGTGGTAACAAAATGCCTGCTCAAAATAACTTGTTTGGCAGATTTTTAAGTTTTTTCCTGAATGAAGGCGAGCAAGAAAAGAGTATCATTTTTGGGGTTTCTTCCTTGCTAGTCCTGTATAGCATTTTCAAAAGCAAGCTTCTTTGTACCTTTTCATGAAAGTATTCTTTGTGCATTTACAAGTTAACATCACTAATGAATTCCTCCATAATGACGATTTATCATAATTCATCATCTAAGTACCTTGCCAGAATTAATAGACGTTTGTGTGAGTCCAGGAGGCTGTTAGAAGCAGATTCTTATGTGCCATTTGTTCATTTTCATGTAGAGACATGAGGCAGGTGAATAAAATGTATTTGATTTCATACCATACATATTTTTATAGTGATACATTCAGATACACATTTCTTTCCTGTACAATTTTTCTGAAGCTAAAAACTCACAAAGATCTTCCATGTAATTTGTGATTGTCAAGGCAAAATTTGTGTTTGTAGACTACAAATTTGTGTTTCAGTGAATTTTGCAACAAAAAAGGATCCACTAGAAAAGGTACACATGTGGAACTAGTTTTCTTTATAAGGATGATAATAAGCATCTACATTAAGCAGTGCAGGCTGATGAATTTCTTGGACTCCCAAGATACTGAGCAAATAAACCAGTCAGGCAAATCTCCAGATATAGATCTTGCAGGGAACTTATGGCACACACTCAGAGTAACAGTAGCACAGCAAAATTTTCTTCACAGATACCTCAATGCCTTGAAGACCATACTGGCAAAAGAATTTAATGTTTTTTCCCAAATTATAATTAAAAATCTGAATAACTACATGAAATACCATTATGATATATGTATAAGCGTTAAGATAAACTGCATTTCCTATTAACATAAACAGTTTTCTCAATTTTATTTGTTTCATGAAACAGTTGTGTGCTGTATGCATCCATATGTTATGTTTCTGGATTTGTTCATGTTATAATGCTGTGTACAATCCAAATAAATTTATTCAACATTATTCATTGTTTTTGAGAAATGAATATTTTTGTATATGTAAATGCAATTTTTGACATCAGTGAAGTACAGATACATGTAATGTTATAGGCTTTGCTAGCAATGTTCTATGTACTCATTACTTCCATTTTCTGCTGAAAATCATTACCATGAATGATCTGAAATGGCTCTGCAACATTAATGCACATTAACAGAAAAACTATGGAAGCTTATCTTAAATTTTTGCATTGGATAATATGTTTCCTGACCCTTAAACAGTTTTACAAACACTGTTAAGCAAATAATACTTCTTTCAATTGCTAAGTCATCATAAACTTTCATCACGAAATTTACAACACAAAATTTAAGAGTATGCAATTCTAATTTCAAATACATATGCAAAAAATACTGTACAGATTTCATCCATGAAAACATTGCTTACAATAATATAATAGCTATGCAATGACATACAAATAAAATAGAAAAGGGTATAGGAACACAAGAATTTGCAATTATACAGTCAAAAGTCGTTAATTCGGAAACCCATAATCCGGACCTCACAGCTAAAAACTTTCTGCGCATGCGCCGCGTTGACACATGCGCATAGGCGTTTACGCATGCGTGTAATACCTTTTACGACTGCGCATATGCGTGTGCGCAAGCGCAGAATACGTTTTCGCGTGCGCGTTTTATGTATAACGGACGGTATAAGCTAAAATAATCTATTTCAGTTAATGTTGATGATTGCGTTGTTCTTTAATTTTCAAATTGGATCCGGCTTATTATTTTTTGCAAACTGTAAGAGCAATACTATAAAAGTAAACTTGAACTTTCGATTATGTCAACTAGAATTTCCGATTCTGGAGCTCCCAAAGGATCGTACAAAACGAAAGTATGTTTCGATGTCCATCAAACAAAAAGTGGAATTGCTGCAAAAAATGGATAAAGACATGAAGAATATGACAGAGAGGTTAGTGAAAACAAAAAAATTTAGATTGACAAGTTAGTCGGTATTTTCGGCACAGCAATTAACGGGACTTGAATAGCGGAACTATGTAACTGAACAAGAAATTATGTCTGTTTATAGAATTAAAGAGCAATTATTATCACATAAAACAAAGCAACTTAAACAACTTACATTAAAAGAAATGTTTAATAATTTGACAACAGTCTCGCATGTTGGAGATAAAAAATGCTTTGTTTCGAAAAGTGTTTCTATTGCTTGCTTTCAAATCGTAGAGTTTGTTAACCAAAAATTTGTAAGTTTTACAAAATCCTAACTAATATTATAAATGTGAATGCGAGTTTGTTTGTGTGTTGCTCTTTCACGCCTTAACTGATCATCATGAAATTGTCAAGAAATATTTTTGATATATTGGGAAAGGCTATAGGCTATAAAATGTTTGCATAGTTTAAGCCACACACCTAAGCACGCAGACAAACTTTTACATTGTTTAACTTATCATTATGAAACTGTCAACATTTAATGTTTATACAATGACAATCATTTTAAGCTACAAAACACGAGAAGTGTACCACGCACTTATGACCGTAACTCAAATTTAACATATTGTTGCGTTTTTTTTTTATTCTTCCTTCTGACACCAGTTGTTACGTTATTTTCTTTTCCTTCACGTTCGTACGGGGTTCGTAGATTTGGAATGAACAACGACGGCACTTGATAAAGTATCAAAAACACACTTTATTAGCCAGTATTGTCAGGACAGCTCCAAAACACACGTTTTACAGTCGTCGATGAACTACTATAAACACGCTGACACGATCAGCAACACAACCTTCAGGTTATCAGGCTATCATGGTGGAGACAGCTTCCTGCAAAGCACCCGACTCTGCTTTCTGGAGTACAGCTCCCGACTCTGCTTGGTCGTTCTCGGAACTTCACATACTCTCGAGACTCTCCACGCTACAACTCGCGATGCACTCGATGACACACGAGCACAGCTCTCGACTCTTCGGTTCAGTCGTTCCAGGAACTCAACACACTCTCTCTAGCTGCACTAACTGCGATATACTACGAGACTCTTGTGGTGCACTCGCTATCTGGCTGTCAAATCGATCCACTCCGCAGGGACTGACTCGCTAGACGAGACACACACATTTGATGAGAGACGCACACTGACTGCGGACCAGCAGGGTTTATATAGCTTTCGGCTTATGTTCGAGAAAAATCTGGGCTAAACCGGTAAAAATTCGTTCCAGAAGGTTCTCCAACCGTCTATGGTATATCACCAATTTTGTCGCCAAATGGACGATTTCTCACCAAATGGGGCAACCCTGCCTTCCCTTGCCATTTTATGGCAAGCCTAAAACTGCTTTGCAGGGAAGCCATCTTACCGCGCCTGTACATCTCATAACACTGCCCCCTCCCAAGGACTGCACATCCCAGGCAGTACAACTCTTGGTCAGAAGGCGAATTCGATGCACACAAAACATAATAAAACAAACAAATAACATAACTAGAGAAACAAATATTTACACTATGTACAAGTTATACACATAAATTAAACACACAACAATTTTAAAGTTTACAAATTAAAGTTCATAATGAAATTCAGTCTCAGTCTTTACATTAATTTATACCCGGGTCAAATACTTTTCCACTGTAACTTTCAGACACATTTCTGTTTTGCATATCACACTCTGAAGATGCAGACCTTTTAAACTTTTCATCCACTGGAAGATCTAAAACAGTTCGTTCACCACTCTGTAATTCATTCGCAGCAGGTGTACAGTTCACCTCGATATTTTTAGTAGAGGGTGCATGCTTATTTATCTCTATTTCCTGAAAGCCAGTACCAATGTTTGCACCAGGGTCATGAATAGAATCCGATCCTTTACAAGCAGAAGTATCCAGGTTTAGAAACAATTCAAAATCTGCCCTATGAGACGCACACATAGTTTGGAAAGTGGGTGAATTTTCTTTCAATACTGGAGCGCACTGCTTAAGCTGCACATTAACTTCTGTCATCTCTGCATCACATGCACTTTCAGATGGTTTGAGACTTGCTGAGTGTGTTTTCATAATTTATTTCTTCCCACTCTGCTTTCTTATCTTCCAGTCCGGCTTTCAACTCTTTCAGTCCGGCATTGATCTCAGCTGTCATCTCTTTATATCCAGCTTTTATCTCTTTATATCCAACTTTTATCTCATCATATAAGGCTTTTATTTCAGCACATCCAGCTTTTATCTTAGCTTTCATCTCTTCCTGTCCGGCTTTCAACTCGGCTAACAGGTCCATCAAAGTCTTCATTTCTTCTGCCATGGCTTTCCTCTGCAGGCGGGCCACTGGCATTCACTCGCAAATCCCACTTCTGACACAAGTTGTTGCATTTTTTAATTCTTCCT